CCGGGGGTCACAATATGAATGTGTCGTGTGATACATGTTTTATGGTCCATTTTACATGACAAATGCGATTATGTGGGTTAGGCAGCCTTTGGGGCCAGCCTAGGTCACGTTTTGGTGAAGGTCAGGTCAAGGTCAGGTCAAATTAGGTCAAATTTCAAAGTTGATATTTTTGCATAAAATGGGTATCGATTCGATGCAGCTCGTCACGGGGAGTCTAATGGTGGTCTTTGTTTTGCTCTACGAGTTCTAGAATTGCCAAAAATTGAGTTTGAAAATTTGACGTCATCATTTTTGAACAGTTTTTTCGCTATAACTTGGCCAAAAAACGAGGTATCGATCTGAAATTTGGTATGTAGATAGAAGATGGTAGGTACTATCACATATATTCCGGTTTTCTCGTAACTCAAAAAACGTTTTGGATTTTTTGGCTAATATATAAAAAAAAATGCTTTTTTGATTTTTGGGGATCAAAACTCAAAAATTTCAAAAATCCGAGATAGCAGTTTTGTAGCCCTGTCAATTCTACACGTTTTATGTCTTGATCATTTTTCTTTATCTTCAAAGCTGTAGGCCTGACAGGTCTTCTCGCGAAGGTCTTTTTTCGGTCGAAAATGACAGAACATGACGTCACTCTGACGTCATTTGTGGCCAACCTATCACAGACTCTGGAAAAATTTTTGGTCACAATGTGTAAAATTGATGCCCGGAGGGGTCCTGAAAGTTTGGTGGCGATATCTCCAGCCGTTTAGGAGATATCGACCGAAAAGGACAGGGGGGGCCGTTTCGCCCCCCCCCCCTATGGGGCGCGGGATTAAGAGGATATCGGGAATGATAAATCACCTTGCTTGTCAGTATTGCAGTAAAAGGAAAGGTTTTGGCTAGTGTCTAGATAAAACCAGAGCCGTGTGGGGCTCGAACCCACGACATCGCACTCGGCACACAGACCACCTAGCCCCAACGCTACGAACACCCGTCACCCTACGCCCCTGCGCAGCTTGCTGGATAGCGTTTCCGCCAAAATTGTTTGTTGAATGTCTGACGTCTGTGAATGTCACGAGGCCAAGCCCGAAGGTAAATGAGGGAGCCGAACCAGGTGCTGAAAATGAGGCCGCTTTTTGGTCCCGGCGTTTTATTCTCCGGGTGGGTTAGCCCCGTCCAGCGCTTAGCCTTTCGGGACCCTCTCAGAGCCGCGGTTGTTTTCGCCGCTCGGCCCATTCGAGATGCAAAGTTGATAGTCACACGAACTTTATTTGAGGCCCCTTAATATACGACTTCGAAACTAATCGATTCTACAAAACCTTTTTCTTCCATTTAATTGCATACATTTAACAGTGACTCCAGATTAGGCTGGTTTGGCTGGCCGTAAAAAAGCTTCGTGTGACTATTAACTTTGCATCTCGACTGGGGCGCGCGGCGAAAACAACCGCGACCCTGAGTGGGTCTCGAAAGGCTAAACGCTGGACGGGAAAAGTTACAAAACATGAACTCTGACTGGTCAGTTGAAATGTCTTTAGTCAGTGAACCACGCCTGGGCTGGAGGTGGTCAGTTCCCTGGCTTGCGCGACCTCGGGCAGGAGCTGTGGGACTTGTACATGGACAAATTGAATAGATGCTAGTGTAACGCTGGTGCGTTTCATTTTCCCTCCCTAAATCAACCCGTTCCCAAATTCATCCTTCATAACAGCAGCGCGCCGGCGACCAGACACCGCTGACCCGCCGACCATCTGGCCGACACCGGACGGCAGGACAAACACGGATCCGAGACCGCGCCGCCAAATGCTATTATCCTGCGGCCCTTACAGAGCCGTCTCACCGCCGCTGACCGTGGAAGGGTCCAGCAATGGGTCCCAACCCCGGTCAAGGGGGCGTATTTACAAATTGCAACCGAGCTCCGCCGTAGGGTATTTTATTTCCGCCGTAGTGTGTTTCACTTGGGGGATTTTCTACCATGCATCTGCCTGAGCTTAGGGTAATTACAATTTGTCGGCGACGTTAAAAAATGATGCACTTTTTTCGCAGTATAGGATATCGCATGTGCATATTTCTGCCTTTTTGGGTGCGCTTTATCGGTTTTTCGTGAGTAACTCACGTAAAAACCGTCCGATCGCGACGAAACTTTCAATGCCCCCGATTTTATCAATTTTACACCTACCCTGAAAATTTCACGACCCTGACCCAAATGACCTTTGACCTAGGTGACCTATTTCTCGAGACCATGTTTGGCCCGAATCGCGATTCGGCGTATGTCGGCTCGCATTAGCCGCGCGGTTGCAGTCTTCACGTGGTTTCAAGCGTTGAAACATGTGATATGATGCTGGTCCCATGCATTAGGGTGGGTGTCAAGGTCACCTGAAGGTCAGGTCAGCTCAATGACCTTTGATGACCTCGGTTCCTTATTCGAGTTTTACATGTTTCTAGGCTAGTTTTTGGAGCTGATTTCGAATTTAGCAACCATTTGAACATTACAGGGGGTGTAACGAAATTATACGGACACCTTTCTTCCCGCTGTAATTAAAAAGCAAAACAATCTGGTACTTTTTCTTTTAACTGAGCTTGTAGCCACCTTTCATAAAAACACAGTGGTGAATGTTCTGGAGCATTTCAGCCAATGAATTCTCCAGCACACTGGCTTTGATGCGGACCAACGCCGTCTAAAGTAACCTGTGCCTGCGGTTGAGCAGTGCTTATGGCGGGTGGCTCTTCATACACCTCCTGCTGAACAAGAACCCACAGGTTTTCAATTGAATTGGGATCGCGACTTTTTCCAAGTCATAAGCGTTAGCCCAGAATGATTGAAGAAGGTTCTATCGGGATCACTTTCCGTTCTTTTAGGGACTTCTAAGTAGCGCGCCGCCCCGCATGCAGACAGCGTGGCTTGAATCAGGCATCAGTGCGCGTTCAGAAATCGTGCCCTCCTATGCCGTCTGGTTGAGCGCCTCCAATCATGCTCCACCACCTTCCCTGAAAAGGCTCCACCCTTGCCTATGGGGCAAAATATAAGGGACAAAAACACAAAACAAGACAGATAAAAACAAAGCAAAATTAACTCATTACCTAATGAAATTCAGGCTGGAGCAAAAACATAGGTAATAGGTATCTATGTCAAATTAGAATGAAAGATTAAAATCAACCTGACCAGGCCTTACGGTCTGACCTGGTTCTAACCACCTTACTTCGCCTAACTTAACCCAATTCAACCTAGCCTACCACCACAACACCTGCAGAGGTACCTTCCTGGAAAAATGACGCCCAGGGAGGTGACTGTCCATTGTCCAACTTATTGGAATACTACCATGATTGCTTGTCAAAATGTGTGTCATCATGCTCTTGTTTGACAAGTGATGTATAATAAATGTGATATTCAATAATTATCTCCTGACTGTTGACTGTTGAGTGGTCAAAATATTCAAATAATCAGTACAATGCTGTGCATAATGCACACTAATCATGTTGTTTTTGTGTAGGCCCTGTGGCCTGTGCACATTGTTGTGTGCACTGATATGTGCACCTTAAGTAAAAAAGTGACTGGTGGACGGTGGTACATGACAAAAGGTTGTGCAACTGTGAAGTTCATGCCCTTGGTCAAGCTGGTACCAAATGCCTATAGCTATAGCAGGATCAGTGAGGGTTGTAGACATGCTACATACATTGTGCATTGAAGCTATTGGCACAAAGTTCATCCGTAATTACTATGCTTAACACCTAATGTAAGAAGCGACATAAATGCCCAGATGATTAAACTCTCTGGTCAGCATCACACAAATTTATTGACATACTTTGCAGGTACATATTTACATTCATGGCAAATACTTTCGATTTGATTCAGAAACTAGTTGCTAGTAAGCTTGCATTTTTGTAGGTATAACAACGACCATATATTAAATCATAAAAAACCTCATGGCATTCATCACATACCTTTTTACCGAACAAGTACCTAGCTACCATGCAATGATTCTAATTTTTTTCCGCAATCCATCTATATCTCAACTGACACACAATGAATTTGAAATACCGTAACAAAACCTATAACTGTACATAAGAAGAATGCAATACTACAAGAACTATGAATTTCTGAAGTTATTCTCACATGCTGGAATGTTGAAACTCTACTTTTGTCGTCCATTTCCACGTTTGATTGAGCCATCATATCGAACTGTTTTTGTTTTTCAGTCACAAACTTTCGCACAAATCTTGAATTTTTACGCATCATCTTGAACCATGCTCCAGTCTTTCCAACAAGGTACTATGTAACATCAAAGCAATTTTGATTTGTTACAACAGCTTCAGATCATGATAGGCTTGAGGTTTATTACACCATTTGCCAGACAAATCTCTACAAAATGTGTATCAATTCCCAAACTAAGTAATTGATCATATCCGTATTACCTATGTTTACATAAAGAAACTCAAATAATCCACAAATTATTATTGAAACACTCCCACTTCAAGAATTCACAGCAATAACAGTACAAGTTCAGAAGCAAACAAACATTGCGCCAGATTTCGTATGAAACGCGCCATCGTCCTGAAGTTTCTACCACAGACGGTAGTTCAACCGCAGAACCCCTGCCCACCTTACCCCACGGCGGAGCTCGGTTGCAATTTGTAAATACGCGTCAAGGGGGGGGGGGGACGGACGAACACAAAGGCACGCAGCCTCCTACGCGCGGCGAACGGACACCGTCAGCCCAGGGGGTCATCGTTTCTATGTTGCGCCATAGGGAAGGCTTTTTGGGTCAATCAGAAGGTAAATGACGTCAAAGGTCGTCCACTTTCTTTGCTGTTTTCTCAACTAAAACGGGATGAAGTGGAACGTTTTTGGTCTCAAATAGTTTAATAAGACATTTTCTACATGTTGTAAAGGTTATAATACCTAAAAACTTGTAGTCTTAGAGTTCTAGCGTAGCAGTGAATTAGGTGGGAATTACGATTTATGACAGTGGTTTAAGGAATTGAAGCAGAAATTAAGCTATTTTTTACATTTATTGCGCGCGTGTCACAATCTTCTGCTTGCAAATTTGTGTATTTCAATTGATAGGTATCAATTGTTAGTTGTTATTTGATACTTTTCTGTCTGGCATTTCTGAGTTTTTTTTTGTGATTATTACCAGCAAGTAGTTAATAAGAATTATCATATACTTTTGTAAATGTAGAAATATTGGTATGTATTCCAATACCAAACAAAATTGCATGTTTGTTTGTTTTAAGTGTGGTCAATTGTCTAAAGCCTAGATGGACAAAGGAAGCTGCAGTTGCTTCTGTAACTCATGTAAGCTGCCATAATTGATAAGTATCTGGACATCCACGGGGGAGCCATCCGCTTCTCTTCTGTCTTTGACAACCAGTACTTTTAGAATGAGCGAATGCCGAGTGCTTTGCATTACAAAGAACTTATACGGCCTTGTTACAAAGATCCGGTCCAACAGGCCTGCAGTCCGCACAGCCGGTAAATGTAAAGATGAAGTACAGTGAAGGTAAAAATTCTAACCTGACCTAACCTTACCTACTAACCAAAAACTTTCAACCTGCCAACCTACAATCTACAAACTTACAACCTACTAACCGAAAACCTACAATTTAAAGCCTACAATCTACCAACCTACAACTTAAAACCTATACTGACTCACGTCTCATTGTACTTCATCTTGATCTACACATTGCACAGCCTACACAGGCCTCAAGGCTCAAACTTCTGTGTGCACTATGGTGTCAGGAAATTGGCGAGTGGTTTGCTGAATATTTTTAGGTGAACAGGATTCCTGTCAAATTAAAAAATAATAATTATGAATGAGTAGGTATGTTTTGTGTTCGTTTTTTTATTGGTTTTAGGGCTCATGTCTTTTCTTCAATCCTTGTTAGCGCATAGGTATGATGGAGGAGTATCACTCTAACTCCCCTAGGCCCTAGTTTGATTAGAAGAAATGTTAACTATGTTATGACAGATCATGACCAAAGTACCTGAAGCAGCGTTTAAAGTCACATCTTGTTTACAGTGTCCCACCGACCAGCTGTGGTGACGCCAGTCGCCAACAGCTACAGCGCTTTTCCAGGAGGCTTCAGTTATTCTGTGACTGGTGACCAAGGCACGACACATCACCCAGCAACTCACAAGTAAGTGAATCTGTGTGTGTGAGCAATGTTAATGTGCCTATCTGTGCAGTTGTGGCAGCTCCCAAAAACAATTACCTAATTCAAAGGGGAAAATGACAATGGAGCATGGCTAATTTGCTATCATATTTAGTGCAGGCTAAGGTCAAAAGGTTGTGTCTACCGAGTCACATACAATAACAAACTGTTTTACACAGGTTGTTTGGCGAGTTGCTGACATTCATCGATTTAGGCAGCTCCTTTGCCATGGCATTTAGTGACTAAAATACAATTTTCCAAGCAAGGAAGTGACATTTTTTGTTTACTGAATAGTTATTCGTTTTACTGGGTATTATGCATCCTTCAGCCATCCTTAATTTGCATTTCATGGAAGGTTTTTGTTTTCAGTCTCGCTGGCGGAGAGTGTTGCTGAGCAGCTGACCAACTGCGGCTGCTGGAGCGTTTCTCAGTCGTCGACCTCCGTAGACTGTCAAGCCTCCCTGGCCTTCTGCGACTCAAGAAGGAGGGATTTTTATCTGTGTTTACCATACAAGAGACATTTTAATCTGACGATTCGATCGGATCTGGATCATGAATCCCGAGGCGGTGTGACAGATGGTCGAGGTCGGCGCGCCACGCCAGACGCCTTCTCGCGCGGGGCGTGCTCAGGTCAGTCAGGTTGCGCTGCCGGACTCTGCTCCGAGGAGAGAAGCACATAAGCGCAGTCAGGACGCGAGTGTGTTTGCACCGCCCCGGTCCCAGCAACCGCATGGCGGTGGGGACTCACAGCCCGGCTGATGGTTCCAGATCGTCTCAGCGCAGCTTCTTCTCCGGACCCCGGCGCGGCAGCGAGGCTGGTGGTTCGGAGCCGACTGATGGAGGACAGCAAAAGAACAGCAGGACAGGACAGCACCCTAACAGTAGCCTTCGGTCATGTGGCGAGAGCTGGGCCCCGGACCGGTCGAAAGGGTGCTCACTGCTGACTGCTCAGCTGAGTGGGTAATGTCCGCGTCTCGTTAGTGTCCCCGGCCAGGTCCTGAAGGGTAGATGAGGGCGGGATATTCTCCTTTATAGACGCAGAGCAATGCCAGAAGAATGGTTTTGCGATCGAGTTGCATGCGCTGTCCCCGCCTGTCGCTCCTGCTGCCGCCGGCGGGGTTGGCGCCAATGGCCATTGACGGGGCTGCTGTGTTTGTAAATTAGGTTGGATGGACCCCTGCTCTCAGAGTTTTGTGTTGGTCGCTGGTAACCCATGTTTTGTGGCCAGCGTGTTACGAACCCACGTAGTGGTTTGACCCCGTGGGGTGCTGTGAGACAGCGCGGAGCGACGCGTGGATGCTGCTGAAACACGCTGATGTTTGTGTGTACCTATCGTCATTTTGAAGTGCTGCTTGAGTTTGCTCGTTTGTTCTGTCTTACTGTTTTGTGTTTTCTACCAAGATAATGTCGATAAGATTGTTCAATAAAGTTTGAGTTGAGACTTCCGGACCGGGAAAGACTGAGACGTCTGAACCGGGGCCGGCAAAGGCGTCTAAGCCGGGACCGATTGAGGCAGGTGGACTGGGACCAACGAATGGCAGCCAGTTCTGGACCGAAAGAAGCAGGGCTGCATCCGATGCGCCACCACATACCGTATCACTGGCAGCCATATGCGTTCCTGTCGCAGGCCACCGTTCACGCTTCAGTTTCGGCGCTGGTGCCCCGGCCGGGTATATGCTCTGCTCGGTATACCTGACTGTTGTGAGCAAAACCTCGTAATCGTACGTCTAATGCTATAGTTGTTGTTCAAATCCGCGTAAATTATGACATTCTGGCAACTATGCTGACCCATAACCAAGCATAGGTCAATGTCGGGTCAGTCGGCTACGGTCGAAGTTATGGTGTTTTTCCAGCCGATAATGCATCAATATAAACTCCTTCCACACTGGTTTTTGTGGCACCACATTAGCATAAACCGGTTTGCAGGTTTGTAGAAGCTGGTATAACGTAATTTAATCGTTCAATATCGCTAAAGTCGTCTCAATTCCCAAAAACGTCCGCATATTGTACTGCATGCGGCTGCCTGATCCGTGAGGGTGGACGACCTTTGACGTCATTTCGTCAGCTGAGCAAATGTAAACAAACCGCCTGACGAGTTTACCTCCTAATATACGGCCTTGCGTCAGCCTGGGAAACAGGACACCACGGTGACTATAAATACGGTGATCTCATCTGGATTTGGTCACGTGATCATTTTCGAGCGCAGCGCACGTGCAGTTGTGGCGAGGGCACTTCCAGAAATTCTGGATCCATGCGATTTTGGAGCCAATGTAAAGTCTATGGGAAAATGGTTCATTTTTATTTGTTTTTCTTATCACACCTAAACTTTCAAGTTTTCTCAAAGATTCACCCTGATTCATGTGTAGAATTGATTGGTCTTTAACATGGTATCAATTTTAGATTTTTATCGGATAATTTCAAAAATCACTTACCATTTAAACTACCAAAAGAGGTGATTGCGGCTAAGCATTGTGACAGCCATATCATGTCATTGGGAAATTACGCTTTCTTGTGCATCTCCATTTTAACTGTTCTCGAAGTTAGTACCTACTGGATGATTCATGCGTAGAATTTGTTGAACTTTTGTCTTGTGTCACTGTTAATGCCTTTATGAAATAATTATTCAAGTAATTTCGCCCCGGCCGACATGGACGCCGTTGTGAGCCGGTTTTGGCGTCGGGGAGAGGGAGGGAGGGAGGGAGGGAGGGAGGGCGAGAGAGAGAGAGAGAGAGAGAGAGAGAGAGAGAGAGAGAGAGAGAGAGAGAGAGAGAGACGGAGACGGAGACGGAGACGGAGACGGAGACGGAGACGGAGACGGAGACGGAGACGGAGACGGAGACGGAGACGGAGACGGAGACGGAGACGGAGACGGAGACGGAGACGGAGAGAGAGAGAGAGAGAGAGAGAGAGAGAGAGAGAGAGAGAGAGAGAGAGAGAGAGAGAGAGAGAGAGAGAGAGAGAGAGAGAGAGAGAGAGAGATAAAGACCAGGGGCCATCGGTGAGGCGGGAGCTCCACGACAGGTACTGGGAGCGGGCTCGCCTTTTCCTCGTAGTGGCCCATCAAGGCTGGGCGGCGGCGGTACTAGTTTCGCAAGAGACAGAGACATGGAGCGACTCGGGACTCGTCTCAGTCCGGCCGCCACCCAGCCGCCCGCCGCGCCTGGCCGGGCTGCTGCTTCGCCGGCCGGATGGCGCGGGCGGCCCTCCCGGCTCCTGCCCGTCTGGGATGCGCTCCCCATCCGCAGGGCGTCGGCGGCGCCCAAGAGGCACAAGAATAACGGCGGTGCTGCGGGCGGCTTGTGGGGTGACGGTGCCGCGCTCCTTCCCCGGCTCCTCGCCGTCCGTCCCCCCTCCCCGGTGCCGTTTTCTTCCAGGGGAGGTGCCCCGGCCGCCGTGCCGGGGCGTAGCGCAGTCCGTGCTTTCAGCACAGCAAAATATCCACCCAGGCTAGATTAAGGTAATGACAAACTAGGATTAAGAGTGGCTACAGACTTCAGACTTTATGCAAACTTAACATTAAGATATTATATATGCAACTAAATGACACACATGGTGTTTGTTCTAACCTTCTCAACAGAAAGTGAACATGTCAGGACAGCACCCCTTGGTGACCATTATACTCAAGGGGTGTAGGCACTGATCCCCCAGGGGTGAAGTGATAGGAGCACAAACATGAGTCACTAGTTAGCTCTGTGTCTTTCCTCCTGCAGGAAAAATATATGTGTGATACCCAATGTGACTGGTACCTGCATATTATAAAGCTGGAAATATTGTACAAAGTTATGACAACACAAGCAAACAATGCATGTTACTGCTCTTGTTATTCCTATATGAGACCTCACAAGACACAAAAATATGCATGGTAAAAAAGGGAGCAACAATACATTTCAAATGTAGCTTGTCATTAAAATGATCATGGATTTCACTACATCAAAAGTGAATGAAATTAAGTGATAATCAAAGACTCTGGAAAAGAAGATCAGCATAACCATAGATATGTAGACTACATATGTCTTGTTTCCAAAGCTAAAGTATGATCCTCAATGTTGTAAAAGTTGGTTGGCTTTTACAATAACTTTGAATAAAAAACAACATACCTATGGTAAACACAATTCAAGGAAATGCCAAGATCCATCCAACCTTTGACATGCCCTGTTTGGAATGCTGTTAAACATGCTAAGATCTTCTCAGAACAGGAAAAATCAACTCAAAAGGAACTCAAAATATTATCTTCTTTTATCACAAATAAAATCCCCATGAATTTCACAGTATTGTGACTGCAGAGCTCATTCAGTCAATCAGAGACTGTGCAGAGACTTCATCATTCAAACAGAGAATCAATGTGCAGAGACTAACACTTTAAAATCTACAGACTTTTCACAAACATCTTTCATGCTACAAGCTTATGCCTACTCAACACTTTTTTTCATGACTCAAATATGGTGGTGTTCATTTTAAGTGAAAACATTCATCCAGCACTAAGCAGATTATTTCTAAGCTCCACTAAGTCCCAATTTCTGCTATATTTCGCTTGGAGTCACTTCATAGTTTGAATTCAAGGTGCCTTGCGGATTTACCTCAGTTATGTAGATAAATACACAAGGATTTATGGGCTTTACCTCAGTTATGTAGCTGCTCCCTTAAATTAAGTTTCTTGTTAAATTTCATTGAGGCGTTGCAAGATGGGCTGTAGCCAAATTCTCTTTCCTGTTTAGCTGATGCTCATAATACCTCAACATTTTTCATTCCAATTTTTGTAGCTGTTAACAATTGATAAAGACCCATCTACCTAGACAACAATGACGTTACAGAGGAAACCCCTGGCTGTGTTTCACGGGCGCGCTGCCAGCTGCTGCCAGCGCATTCCGTGAGCTAGCATCAACCTCCGGTAGTGTTGGAGGTATAGGCTTGTTGATGTCTCTATGTAAGCCAAAAATGGCTGGCAGAGTGCTGCGAAACACCACCCTTATTTTTGCACAATAATGGTGTGATAACTGTTCCTGCAAGAAAATATAAGGTGAAATGAAGTAAAATCAGGTCAAACATTAATATATGCCCAAAAGAAGCAGTGTATGGAGTACCTATGTTCACATTACCAATAATATGATGCACAACAGGCCATAGAAAAACCGGTGAATGTTGAATTGTAACCCAATTTCAATATCAATATGGCACTTGGCATTAGCAGTAAAACATACCGTTTTTGATGTTAAATCAACAGAAAAAAAACTCCTGAACATAAACAAAATGATCAGAATATATAATGAGGATAATAGTATAAATAAAAATCGACGAATCGGCCTATCATCGCCCTTACACATTCACCACTCCCAATCCCCATTCCACGCACAGATTGTTTACCCCTTGGTTTACCCCGTGTTCGCAGTCTCCCGGACGACGAAGACTCTATACGTCGTCCGACCAATCACGTTCAAGATCAGCGGGGCTTGGCCCCGGTTCTCGAACGCCATTGGCCAGATCACGCAGAATCTTCGTCGTCAGGAAAACTGTGAACACGGTGTTACATTTTTCGCTATGGTAACAAAAGCGCCAGAATTGACTACCAGAATTGGATCCGAAGGTCAAATGGGTCACGTGACTGTCAAGTTCAGATGGACAACACCTGCAGGACACCACGGTGCAGGACACGACAGCGCCGCTGCGGCAGCGGGAGGCCGGGGCGCCCGGGACCAAATTGACCACCGGTATCACACTTCAAAGGCAATTTCTTCAAAACACGGCTCGAAATAGCACATTTCCAGGATGTGCCGAGACTGGCGCCGACAATCAGCATCGGGAAACTGGGACAGCCGACAGAGTAACAACATCCAAATTCCAGTATGGCACGGCACATCCGCATTCCCGGGCCCATCTTCCCACGCTGGCAAACCTGGCCGCAGTGGCGGCGCCACGAATTTTCGCCAGTGGGGGCAAGCTTGAGACTGACCCGACTGTTGTCTGATAACGCCGATCTGCAAAATCCATGAGCACATTGTCCCTAGATGTTGTCATTCAAAATTATTTTGGTTTTAGGTTTCATGCATAGGCGTATTGAGTTTAACCATTAACCCTCGCGGGCCCGGAAAGGGGGGGGGGGCATTTTTCGCCTCCCCTGGCGAATATTTGCGATACCTCACGAACGCTTAGGGATAGAAAGACGAAGCTTGCTGTACCTTATCCCCCATTAGTTTGACATCTTTTGAAGCAAAAAATTTGGACCTAGCCTCCTTGATAATGTCTCAGAGCCGATTTTTCTAGACTCCTGCACGGCAAACTTCGTCGTCACGGACGTGAACTTCAACCAGCTGCCAAAAATTGAGTTTTAGAGATAAAGACAAATTACGAGCACGGTTGTGTAGCATTTGACCCAGAAAAAAATACTTAAGTAACTTTGGTGACCTGAGGTCAGAGGTCAGGGCAACGACCCCGAGCTGGGGCT